CTGGACTGCCTGAGTTCTTGCTCCAGCTCCACCTCCAATTCTTCCAATTCCAGGGCCCAGCTTTGTCCTTGCCCAGCCCTAGTTATTTTGGGCATTTGGGGAGTGAACCAGCAAAGTGAAGATTTTTTGCGTATTGTTTTACGTCTCTCTTCTTCTCCTTAAGGAAAATAAAAATAAATACATTTCAAATAACAATGACTAGATAACTCTTTGCCTAAAGGCGTACCTGGTCTTAGCCTGCTCAGCACTGCCTTGTCTCAGCTCTACACTGGGCAGACAGATAACACGGGAGAGGAGTGATGGGGCTCTTACAGGGATGACATCTGGCATGTACTGAGTCTCAGCGGATGACAACGTGAATTTCTGACCCCGCTCTGGAGTTTCTGATTTAGTAAGCGTGGCTTGTTTCTAACCAGCTTCCAGGTGATGATGCTGTTGGCACTACCTGCCCCCTTGCCCTTTGAGAACCACTGGTTCATGACGCTCTCATAGAAATTCTGTCCACTGGATTGTGATGCTCTCATAGAAATGTGGCCATTGGGTGTTCACCACAATCTGTTCTTTGAAATCTTACAAGATCTCATAAGGGAAGTGTGTATGTGGTTAATGAGTTTTGGAAATATTGGATTAGAAAAAGTTAGGTGGTTCTTTCAGGCAATCAGAGTATACATGTATCTTATTGCCTGTGTCTCCCTGATTTTTCCATCCCCAGAAAGCCTCATTCAGAAAGCTGAAATGACAAATATTTTTACTGTTACAGGTACTACCTAAAAATCCATTAGTCCAAACATTAGACTACTCCTGTAACTGTCATTAAGGTAAACATCAGCTTAGGATAAGTTGCATCAAAAAGATTAAATCCTTGTGTCTGAAATCAGTACCAGTATGGTGCTACAAGTGGAAAGTTCCATGCCTGACCTCACCTGACAGTTACCTTCAAAACACAGGTGCACTGAAAACATTGCATATGATTATACTCAGGCTGTGTGATAAGGTGGATATGAAGCATAAGCGAATTTCTTGTTTAGACCTGGATCTTCGCTCCAAGTTATTTCATTACTTAGATGCACATATTCCAAAATCCTAACAACATCTGGAATACCTGCATCGTTTCAAGCTTTTCAAATTTCGGGGATATTCAACCTATCAAATGCAATACCCTTGCTTTGCCCAAGCACGCAAAGCATGCAAAGCAGTGGAGCGAGATACTCATTTCTGAGCACCAATCTCTGCCATCCTAATAAAGACTTCTAATTTCCTAACAATTTTACTTTGCATTTCTAACCTCAATTGGCACGGACTCAGAGGGAAAAATAGTGGTAATATGCCACCTTGTGGATAAATGAGGAATGACAGTCTTGTACTTTTTTTTCCCCCATAGTGACAACCAATCTTTTTTTTTTTTTTTAATTAAAAACGTCGTTTTATTGGAAAAGCAGATCTACAAAGTGAAGGAGAGACAGAAAGAGAAAGATCTTCCATCTGCTGATTCACTCCCCAAATGGCCACAATGGCCAGAGCTGAGCTGATCCAAAGTCAGGAGCCTCTTCTAGGTCTCCCGTGGGTACAGTGTCCCAAGGCTTTGGCCCATCCTCCATTGCTTTCCCAGGCCACAAGCGGGGATAAAAAGTGGAGCAGTTGGTACATGAACCAGTGCTCATATGGGATGCCAGCACTTGTAGGAGGCATTTCACCGGCCCATAGCAATCTATTTTTATACTTTGTTTCTCTTTTATACAAATAATAACTGCTCAGTGCAAAGCATCCTGGAAAACACACAAAGAATGGTGTGTGCTTGGTGGCTAGGGCTGCAGGGGCCAGCAGGCTCGGGACCCGGGCCGCCAGGAACCAGCAAAGATGTGGGGAAAATCATGGGTTTGGAGGAGCTTGGGAGGCCCTGAATGTTAAGGTTATTTTCTTGGCTATAACTCTGAGGGAAAGTTCACTCAGCCCTCCTGAGGTCATTTGTGTTGAAGTTCAGAGAATGTCAGCAAACTTTGTCAGTGGATCCTGAAGAGACTATACTCCGTCTTCCTGGTGGAACCTAGAAGCTTCTGCCCTGTATTATTATTCTACAAATAGCAATGAACGAGCACATTACTTTTTCTATGAACAAAACTTGGGTCAGCAGTTGCTCCTGGGCCTGACCTGACATTAGGAAGTGAGCATATGTCCCTCCAGAAAGATTCTTTACATCTCATAGGGATAGAAGGTAAAGTTTGGTTTGGATTCCATACAGTCATAAAAATTACTTGTCAGTCCTACGGACAGCCTTCTATTACCATGGATGAAGCCATCGCGGGACAACGCACTAAACAAACTTTTCACTCCAGTCTACTGTGGCTGGCAGAGCGTAGCAGCCAAATGACCAGACGGCTCCTTGATAGTTCACAGGTTCTCCATGTTTCTAGGAATTCAGCAAGTCCTAGGCTCGCAGCTTTCTGTAAAATAATAACGTGAGCCCAGATGAATTATTTTCAAGCTGTGTGTTTTAGGAGCTTTCAAAAATATTGGATGCCAAGTTCACTCAGACTATTTTATCCATCTAGTTTAGAAATCCACATGAGATGAATTCTGTTGTTCAAACAGTGCCTACAATGATTCGAAACCCATTTGGATGGAGTACAGACTGTCAAGAAAACTAGAATATGTCACTTCCCAAATGTTTTTGGTATTTAAAAAAAAAAAGTTTGGTGTAAGGGCCAACGGCAGGAGCAGATTGAGCCGAGTTCTCTGAGCTCCCTGCTGTTGCCTGGCAACAGGGCCCAGATTTCCAAAGCCAACCATGCTCTCCTCCCCTCTGGAACAGGAAGGACGAAGGTCGGCAGGACAAGGGTCAGCCCCTGCAGCCAGCCTCGGCCTCCGCCTGCTTGGAGAGGGCATGGGGGTCTCCACGTGACCAAAGTCCACAGTGAAGCTTGTCTCTGCCACGCCTGGAGCCTCAAGTCCTCCTCCTTATCTTGTCCTACCTAAACATTGACTCTTTTGAAGATAAGCTGAAGGTTCGAGTCACCTCTTTGACCTTTACTCAGTCCCTGGATTCCTCCCAAGTGTATATGAACGCTTGTGTTAACAAACTTCACTGTGCTTTGTCCCCACTTACTTCGTGGTACCGTACTTTGTGAACAACCCTGTAGAGTTAAGGGGGGTAAAAAAAAAAAAAACAGCATTTTTTCCTCCCTTACGTTGTCAACAAACACGGAGTAAATTTGTGGTACACGATAAAAAATTTCTGTTTGAAAGATCCTCGTGGCAATATGTGGAAACTTTTTCAGTGGAGGTTTCATGGAGGAACTCATTGTCAGTTGTCACGAATCGTCAGTAATCAAACAGCAGTTGCACAGGACTTACTACACACAAGACAGCGGGCCGTCTTGTAATTACCCCCTCTTCAAAGAGGAGTAGCTGGAGTATGAAGGGATTAAAGTCCTAAAGAAGTGGTAGCTGCCAGGGTTCTCCTCTTCTTCAGGACCATTTTGCTTTTTTTCCTCCCAACAGACTCCTGCTGTCTTGCTTTGCGCCCTGGGCATCCCTGCCTTAGAAATGGGCCCAAAGGACCCCTTTCCAGCCCGACATTTTATTCCCTTCTTGCTAGGCTCCCTGTCCTCTTCTATGGAAAGTTCTACCCAGGATACCTGACTCACTGCCTGACTCACGCTCCAGGACCTGGGGTGCGTTAGAGGAACTGAGAAAAAAACCTACTGGCCCTTTGGGGGAGAGAAGATAGAGCCATTGGACGTAAGAAGGGACTCTGAAACATGGCTTAGTTTAGGTTGATGCTAGGGTGGTGGCCAGCATGGGAGGGCTGGGAGAAGAGGGCAGCTAGCTGTAGCTATGCAGGTTAAGGGGCAGGGGGATTTAGCTGGAAGTGATGTACCTGAGTAGGAGAACAACTGGTCAGACATCATTGTATGAGAAAAGCTGACCAGATGTCATTTGAATGAAGCCACCTGATTGGATACCCAAAAAGACACTTTCAGACAAGTGTGTAGAAACAGTTGCTGGTTTGTAGATAGGCTTATTGGAACTATGTAAGCTCCTCAATATCTCATCCCTTAGCCTATGTGGCCCTCAATCCACAAAAGCCTGATGCCTGGGCCTGGTGTGGTAGCCTAGTGGCTGAAGTCCCTGCCTTGCATCCACCAGGATCCCATGTAGACACCGATTCTAATCCCAGCCGCCCTGGACCCATCCAGCTCCCTGCCTGTGGTCTGGGAAAGAAGTTGAGGACAACCCAAAGCCTTGGGACCCTGCACCCATATGGGAGACCCGGAGGAGGAAGATCTAGGTTCCTGGCTTCGGATCGGCTCAACTCCAGCCATTGCAGCCTCTTGGGGAGTGAATCATTGGAAGGAATATCTTCCCTCTGTCTCTCCTCTGTATATCCTGCCTTTCCAATAAAAGTAAAATACATCTTTAAAAAATAACACCTAGGGAATTGGTCAAGAGTCCAGTCCCTGTGTTACTGTCAGCTCTGTGCCCCAAGTCCATCCCTGCAGGACACCTGTGCCTCCCCCACGGGTGTCCATTTCCCAGGTACATTAGCAGGGAGCTGGGCTAGAAGCAGAGCAGCTGGGATCTGAGATGCACGCAGGTGGCAGCTTAAGCCATTATGCTACAATGCTGGCCCCTGGGCTGAGTTTTAAACAGATGGCGCCTTTTGTCAGGGTTATTCTATCCTTCAGGAGGCTTCCCGGGGAGCAGGACGAGGAAGCCGGCGATCTCTGGCTCTGGGAGGCCGGCGGGCCGCGGCGCCCCTCCCGCGCTCCTCGGCCTGACTGACAGCAGCGTTACCTCAGCACGTTCTCGAACGCGAGGCGCGCCGGGGCGGGGCGGCTACGGAAGCCGGGCGGGCGCCGGGCTGGCGGGGAAGGGCGGCCGGGCGCGCTCCGCCCCCGACGCTCGCGCTGCGGCGGCCGTTGCTGCAGCTCCCCGGCTCGGGCGGCCCTTCCGCGGGCTCCGCGTCGGCAGCGTGCTCGGTGCCTTCTTCCCCCGGCCGCCCGAGCCGCCGCCGCCGCTGCTGCTGCTCCTGCTGCTGCTGCTCCTGCTGCTGCGCCCGCCGGCCGGGGCTCCGGGCACCGCTCCCACGGCGGCTCCGGCGGACGCACCGAGCGGCCCTGCGCCGCTGCCCGAGCCCGGAGCGGACGGCGGCATGAGGCACCTGCCCTACTTCTGCCGGGGCCAGGTGGTGCGGGGCTTCGGCCGCGGCTCCAAGCAGCTGGGCATCCCCACAGGTGAGTGCGGCCCAAGGGCCAGCCCCCAGCCGGTGCCCGCTGCCCGCTGCCCGGTGCCCGGCGTGGGGCCGAGGAAGGGAGCTCTCTGCCCCTCGCCTCGGAGCTGTGTGGCAGGTGCTCGCCCAGCCAGGGGTGGACAGAGCTGGCCAAGCCCACTTGCTCATTGAAGAGCTAGAGCATGGACCACATGGCCTAAGCTTTACAAAGCTGACCTTAAATGCTTTATTATTATTGTTTTTAATCTGTTTTTGTGTAGCCTCCAAGCACGGGTAGTTGGGTGAGAGCCAGGGGTAGGTAGCTCGTTTCGTCTGTCTACAGAGTTTTTAGGAATACTACCCCGACTGCTTCGCTTAACAGGACGAACTAAGGACCGGCTGATTCTTGTAATGCTTAATTATTCTTTTTAAAGATTTGTTATGAGGATGTATTTATTTTTATTGGAAAGGTAGATCTACAGAGAGAAGGAGAGACAGATCTTCCATCCCCAAGCAGCCGCAATGGCCAGTGCTGAGCTGATCCCAAGCCAGGTGCCAGGAGCTTCTTCCAGGTCTCCTACGTGTGTGCAGGGTCCGAAGCCCCTGGGCGGTCTCCACTGCTTTCCCAGATAGTAAGCAGGGAGCCGGATGGGAAGTGCAGCAACTGGGACACGAACTGGTGCCCATATGGGATACCAGCGCTTGCAGGTGGGGAATTGGCCAGCCGAGGCATCACACCGACCCCTATGCTTGTAATATTTAAGGAATAACCCTTTTAAATGACTTGGAAGCTGCTTAGGAAAGCTTTAAAAAGGCCGTTTGTTTTGCATCTTTTTTTTTTTCTGCTGCAGACAGAGGTTTATACACTTTGTGTCTTATCCCTAACCTGTCCAGAAGAAGGGGGAAGGCACTTGTAGCCCCAGGGTGGAAGGATGGCATTGTCACGGGGGCAAGCTCCTGCGAGTCTTGTGAGGGTACTGGCTTCCCTGAAGCTGGTGTGATAACTTGTAACAATGTCGGTTTGTGCCCTTCAGCCAACTTCCCTGAACACGTGGTGGACAGCCTTCCCGCCGACCTCCCCACTGGCATCTATTACGGCTGGGCCAGCGTGGGCAGCGGAGACGTGCATAAGATGGTGGTGAGCATTGGATGGAACCCGTACTACAAGAACGTCAAGAAGTCCATGGTAAGAGGGGGTGTTGGCTCTGCCACTGACGACGCCATGATGGAAAGCACGCGGGGCGGCCTGCACAGAAGGGTCCTCGCTGGTCATTTCGCCATCGCTGTAATAGAAACGTTGGCGTTAAGACTTGAAAGATTTAGAAGTGAAGTGTGTGGGTTGCTCTTTTCCATCATTTTAGTGTCAGCGTTTTGTCTCTTTGGATCTACAAGTGATTCTTTGGTAGTGTGTAAAAGTCCGATGATGCTGTTGGATCCCTTGTGACAGTCTTCCCCTTCTGACAGCAGTATTTAATTCATGTAAAGTACTGTCTGATAAAAGGGGACCCCCTCCGTTGTGTGAATTGCTTTTCCATCTGCCTTTAGTTTTCTGCCCTTCCCATTTCCCATTACTGCCGTATGTTTTGATTTTTTTTGTAATATATTTGATTTCCTTCTCATTGTCCTTTTCTAAAAAAAAGAAACATTTATTTGAAAGGCAAAGGGGGAGAGATGAGAGAGAGCGAGCACGCTCAAGAGCGCCTCCATCCACTGGTTCACTCCCCCGTGACCAAACAGCCGGGGCCAACCCAGAGACAGAAACCAGGAGCTCTGCATCTCCTGGCTGCTCAGGCGGTGGGGACTTGCATCCTGCAGCCGTCATCCCCTGCCTCCCGTACACAGTAACCCGGAGCCGGATGCAGACCTGGGCATCCCCTGCCTCCTGCACACAGTGACCTGGAGTCAGATGCAGACCTGGGCATCCCCTGCTTCCTGCACACAGTAACAGGGAGCCGGATGCAGACCTGGGCATCCCCTGCTTCCTGCACACAGTAACCCAGAGCTGGATGCAGACCTGGGCATCCCCTGCTTCCCACACACAGTAACAGGGAGCCAGATGCAGACCTGGGCATCCCCTGCCTCCCACACACAGTAACAGGGAGCCGGATGCAGACCTGGGCATCCCCTGCCTCCCGCACACAGTAACCCGGAGGGGATGCAGACCTGGGCGGACAGCAGATGCTCCAGCTCTCACTCCAGTGTCGGGATGCAGGCTTCTCTGGTGGCAGCCCCTGCACGGTAGTGCCTGCTTCTCTTTCTCACTTCCTTTTTGTGTATTTTGGATAGTTACCGAAAGTAAATTTAACATCCTCAAATTTTAGAAGTTGAATTTGGGGATTTGAGTTTTTAACAACCTAAGCAGCATTCCGGACTCATAAATTCCATCTTTATATGTTGTGTCCTGGATAACATGGATTGAAATAGATGCTTCTTGGCTTCCTGGGAGATGGCAATGGGATTATGTGTTGATGGGCTCATTGTAGAGTTTGAAAATTCTAAACTTCACCACTGTGAGTCACAGACCGATTTTCTTATGTATTTGTTTTTTAAAATCAGAAAATATTAAGTAGATTTCCAAGCCCTTCTCTTGTTAGTACTCCTACGACTGCATGTCTGTTCATCTTTACTGGAGATGGAAATGAAGTATGACAAACTGAACTTGTCCCTTTGTTAACCCCTTAATTCTTGGATTTTCATTTCTGCAAACATTGCAATGACATGTATTGCAAAGTAACCCTAAGTGATAACATTCATTGCTCAGTTGGAATTTTTCTAAGTGTGGAGTAATGGGGTAACCAGGTGAACGTGGGATAATGGGTTAAGGCAGACCTGCTTGCTAAGTGGATAATGCCGACTGTGCAATTACAAGTTGATGCTCCTGTCTTTCTGAATGGCCCGAGGGGTGTGCTCTCCTGCCCTCCTTTGGCCCACCGGACCCACACAGTTTAACTACTTTATCTTAAGAGTTGGCTGAGTCTTCTGGTTCAAGCATGTGGGAAAGGAGATCTACAATTCCGTGAATCCCATCAGTACACATGTAATAAGGGGATATTTCAAAAAGTTTGTGGTTAAGTGGAATTGAAAGTTGCTCATCCAGTTTCTGAATTGCCGACACTTCCACACCTGGTCTGCAGTGCCACCATCCTTGGCCAGTCCCGGCTGTCGTCGTTTCTCTGTGTGGCCTCTTTGTGGGACTTTACTTCTCGGGAAGTCACGTGTGTTCTTGCTGGCAGTCTGCTGCCGCTGAGATGGTCTACGCAGTCCAGAGTCTGGAGTGTCTTGTTCCCGCTCAGCTGTTCTCCTCCGGCCCAGCCTCTACTTCCTGATCGGGAACCTGCCTGGTTCCTCCCCCACATCCGTCTGCAGCTCCGCCTGACTCACAGAGGTTTCCACAGCTGGTCTGTGCCAGGAACACGCTGGTCAGGCCTGACCTTTGAACTGTGCTCTCAGCAGTAACGTCTCCTGATGGCTTCACCCAGGCTTGACCCCGCCTTTCCTTTCTGTCTCAGCTCCGCGTTTGCTTCTTTTATATGTGTCAGATTTAATATACAGCTGTAGTCAGACTTTACACATATACATATGTAATCTCCAGCAGGGGACAGCAGATCTGCCTCAGTTATGTTGACGTGTGAAATAGGGACAGAAGACAGAAGAGCTGCACTTGGATCTTAACACAGGTCCTTACGATCTTCAGTGAAGGTCGTCTCACTTAGATGAGGGCCACATTGTGGCATAGCAAGTGAAGCCTCTTCCCGTACTAGTGTCCCATGTGTGCTCTGCTTCCTGTCCAGGGTTTCACTTCTGATCTAGTTCTCTGCAAGTGGCCTGGGAAGAGCAGCAAGGGGTGACCCAGGTACCCGGACCCCTGCTCCCCAAGTGGGAATACTAGCTTCCGTCCAGCCTAGCCTGAGTCGTTAGAGCCACCCGGGAAATGACCCATGAAGGAACTTTTGTTAACGTACCATAAACAACGCTATACTTGAAGTTGCTACTGTTTTTCTGAGCTAATGATCTTTCAACATTTCTTGACTAGGAGACCCACATCATGCATACCTTTAAAGAGGACTTTTACGGGGAAATCGTCAACGTGGCTATTGTTGGCTACCTTAGACCAGAAAAAAACTTTGACTCTTTAGGTAAGTTCCTATTTTGGTCTTATTACTGCTGCCACAGCTGCGGCTGTCAGCTACAGTGATGGCACAACAGATTATGCGAGCATTTGATTGTGCTAGGCACTGTTAAGAACACTTCACTCAGAATAATTGCTTCAGCCTGCACAATCACCATCAGAAGAACTCACCTCAGAGTTTGTAAATCATTTGCCTGAAGTCACTTAGTAACTCAGAGGTGGGGAAACTTTTTTCTGCCAGAGGCTACATAAATGTAACATCGTGCTTGGGTCATACCTTAAAAATTAGCCTGCTGTAGATAGATTGAAATTTGAGTTCTATGTGTGCCTGCCTGGGCAAGGCAAGACAAAATGGATGTGTCCATAAAACTATGTGCCCCATAATACTATGCACTAGGCAGTTGACACAGAAGGGAGGTTGTGCCACTGGCATCTGCCAAGGGCCTTCTTGCTGCATCATAACCTGGTGTCACATGGTAAGACACTAAGGGGATGAGTGATGGCTCCCCTTGGGAGGAGGCTACTCCCTTAGGAACCAGTTCATCCATCAGTGGATTCTTTGATTTATGAAGACAAGGCCGTCGGGAATGATTTTATCTCCCAAAGTCCTTTTTCCTGTTGTCATACAAATCTGACTTTGGGGAATGACTTGCCAGCCCGCGAGTTCCGGGGGATACCCTAAGCCACAGCATAGTAAGGATGAAGCTCATGGAGAGCCAGCAGACCGCTGCCTCTCTCCACAGGTCTGAAATTAGTCTTGCAAACTGCTTGATGTGTAAGGAACAACAAATCAGAGAACGTTGACAGGTAGTGTGATCAGATATCTGTTAGTGTAACAGAGTGGCTTGAACTCTTACCGATGGAAGAGAACAGAGAGCAGTTGATTCTTAGTGTGTTTTTGTGCCTAGAAGGAGTAGCAAGATGAGAGGCTTGACTTGTGAGCTGCTGACTTGTAGTTAACTCTGGAAGAAGGGCTGGAGCACTGGTCCCCTGTTCCTCCTGGCCCAAGCGGTAGGGGAAACTGAACAAAGGAAAAGAAACGTAGCATTTAACAGGTTTTTTTTTTCTTATTTATTTGATATGTTCTTTCTACAGAAGCACTTATTTCAGCAATTCAAGGTGATATTGAGGAAGCTAAGAAACAACTTGATTTACCAGAACATTTGAAACTCAAAGAAGATAATTTCTTCCAGGATCCTAAAAACAAAATAATGAATGGCCACTGAGAGAAAAAATCACCGTATTTCTTCATTCACTGTTTCTAGCATGTCACTGTTAATAACTGTGCAGTGTCCTCTAAGTTATATTGCAGAAATCAAACATTTCCCTAAAGCTGTGCGTTCAGCAGTACAGCTGTTTAAATTAACCCATCATGCTTAGCGCTGGAAAGATTCACTCAGAAATCAAGGTTCTTTTTTTTTTTTTTTTTTCTGTAATACTTTGATTAAAATGTAGCACCAGAAAGATACGAAGTATCTTACGGTGGGAATGGAATGTGGGTGGCTGTGGGTAAAAAGCGTGTCACCAGTGTAAGATGGTCACCGTGCTTCGTGCCGGACCCCGGCGTGTGTGGTTGTGTAGTTTGTGCTGCTAAGCAGAAGGCTTAGGAAAGCTAAACGCACCAAACACAGGTTTGATAGTTTACCGTAAGCCTGAGAGCTCGGAGAAGCCACACTTTGCATTTTTGATATTTTTGTGCATTCATATATTATTACAGAAATGAAGGCTTTTGTGAGATTTTCATTTTACTCATTTCCTTTCTTATGACATCGAATCACTGTGCTGCTCGCTCAGTTTTGTGTCACACTGCCTTACTGCTAAGTGAGTCTGAGAGACTCGGAGCCTAGGAGTTTAGTAGCAGTCTGTTGAATGTCTCGCATCTGTAGGTCACATTTATATTGGATAGTCTTTGATTCATTCATTTTTTAAAAAAATATATATGAGAGAGTCCTGCAGGGCCCGAGAGGAGGCCCTCGCTGAAGCAGAGGCCGAGAACTCAACCCAGGTCTGCTGCCTGCAGTGACTTGACCCAGCCCTGCTGCTTCCCAGTGTCAGTGTCGGCAGGAAGCTTGAGTCTGGAGGCCGAGCTGGGAGTCTAACACACACACTCCACTCCAGCCCACTGGTGTCTTTTCCCAGCGTCCTCGCTGCCTGGCCAGACTTCGGCCCCCTTTCCCTAACAGTGCTCGTTTTGCCTGACTTTGGCTCTTGTTTCCTTGAAATCATTGTCAGTGTCAAAGTTTTTTCAAGTTTGGAATACCCTACCACCGTGCATGTAAGAGATCGCATCTGTGTGTACCATTCCATCGTTTCATGAGAAGTGATTAATTGCATCATCTGCTTTGCCTTTTCTTAAACGCCATCAACAAACGTCGTTAGCCTTCCTCAAAGTTTAAATGAGCACATAACTGTGTGTTTGTGTTCTTAAAGACTCAAAATACTCGTTGAAGAAGACTAAGGGCCAATTAAACCATGAAATACTTAGAAAGTTATTTATTTTTAATGCAATTATATATTCCTGAGCAAATCTAAACTGTTGTAGTTGCGTATGGACAGTGCAATTTAATGTTAAAGCGTGCTTGTAGCTTGAGGAAAGAAATAAAGTTTTAGTTAACAATGTCCGTGCAGTTTATTTTTTCCTCGTGTTCTGCTGTTTTGTTTATGTGGGCGGATACTGAAGTTTACAGATCATTCTGGACTCCCATAACAGCACCTGTATCATCGTTCCCTTAGTGTTCTGTTTGGTAGTAGTAAGCATGGCTGAGGACAAGGACAGAACTACGTAGAATGTAATTTCAATGATCACCAGTTACGAAGCATTTTCCTATAACCTACATCAGTGAATTAGAGAATTGATTTTAATAGAAACAATTATGAAGTATTGTTGAAGAGGGAAGCATGGATTATTCAATAAGACTATATTTTACTGTTTATTGGTAGGAATTTATGCCAAAGATGACAGTCTGGCTTTTCCTTGTTTTACCATACTATTTAGAAGATGCAAATTTTTTTTGTGAAGATTTATTTGCAAGGCTGAGCTACAGAGAGATGGAAACCCTCTGCTGGTTTACTCCACTGTTGGCTGCAACAACCAGAGCTGAGCTCTCTGCAGCCGGGAGCTGCTTCCGGATCTCCCACCCAGGTCCAGGCACTTGGTCCATCCTCCGTTGCTTTCCCAGGCGCATTAGCAGGGAGCTGGATCAGAAGTGGAGCAGCTGGGAGTCAGATCCCCAACGGGAGGCACCATGGCGCCAGCTGCAGCATGAACACCATTCTAGACAGTGTATCCCATTTGTAACTTTCATACTTGGTATGTCTTTGTGAAGTTTCCCAATACTTTGCATGTGAAAGGACTTCTGAACTGTTAATATGGAAGCAGCACACTTAGCGTATTTCTTTGTTGTCGGTCGCTGGACTCAATGCCCTAGGAGGCTGGTGGCCACAACAGTGGACGTGACACCTACAGAAGATCAAGAAAGGCTGGAAACAGGAGAAGTAGTCAAATGGACATTTTTCAGTCTTTACAGTTAAACTGAGCCCCAGTTTGCAGGTGCCTTATCTGAAAACATGGAGCAGATTACTTGAGAATTACAACTAGTGTACTGTCTACTTCTTTTCCTTGATTCCTAGTGTTTCCCCTTTTATCTCGATTTGGGAGAAGCTCAGTGCTCATGTTCAGCCACAGTGGCTTTAATTCCCTCCAACCGTGGCTTTCAGAATGTTCTCCCGGGAACATTGGGGCTCGTGGAAGTGTCCTGGCCAACAGCAGGCAGAGAGCATCACCTCCAGCCTCACCCCTGTGCCCCGTCTCCTCCTCCTATGTCAGGCAGACTTCTGCCAACTGGCTCACCTGCCTAGCTTTTGCACAAGGCCTCCAGGGCATCGAGAGGGTTCCCAAGTGAGGACTCGGCTTGGATCCATGGAAGGAGATGGCCTGATACCCGCTGTGAGCCATTTGTGGGGATTTCAGCCTCCCTATAGGCCCTTGTGTGCTTTCCAAATATTTATAAGAGTTGTCCAGGGTATTGTTTAGCTCATGCAAGGCTCCCATTTAAGAACAGTGTTTATATCAGAGCTGGTTTTTGTTAACCTCTTCAATTCTAGCTCCTGAAATCAACAGGATGTAATAGTCCTGCTCAGAGTTGCAGTGTGTTTTGAAACCACACACACCTGGCTTAGTCTGGCACAGTGTTTCCTACCACATTTTTTCTATGTGTTTGGTTCGGGTGTTTTACCTTGTTCCTTTTTATACAGTCTTACAAAAGGATGGGTAGTATGAAATGTTTTTGTTACTGCAACAGCTTAACAACATTGTAGATACATTCTTTGCAGTGTTTTAGAAGCTGGACACATAATTAGCTTTGCATTGCACAGGTTCTGTGTGTCACTATACAAATTGAAGATGTGAGTGACAATATTCCCTGTATTTCATCCCCCAGTCTCTGGTAAATTTCAGCAGTTGTGACAGCAGGAACTTCAATGGGCTTGTGTTTATATCACTTCCGTATTCTTAAAGATATTTAGTCAGATAGAATATGAAAGTCGGAGATAGACCAGCTCCAGTTGAGTAGTTAGGAATTCCTGAGCATGGATTCCAAGTCATCAGGCTATTTCTGAAGGGAAGCAGAATAGTCAGGGTTATGTACATTGAAGACTAGGAACCCTGGGAAGTGTGGATGTGAGTGAGGAAGATCCCCGTGTCGTCGGTCTCAGCAGCTGTCACCATTGTCACCCTGGTCTCGAGCTGGAGTGTTTTATTCATTAGGATCAAGTTAGCAGAGGCACACAGCAGACTTTTAGCATAGCCTCTTAACACTGAAAAATGGTCAGGCAGGCCCAACTTGATGGCTCAATTGGCTAATCCTCCCCCTCCAAGCACTGGGGTTCCATATGGGTACTGGTTTGTGTCCCAGCTGCTCTACTTCCCATCCATCTCCCTGCTTGTGACCTAGCAAAGTAGTGGAGGGTGGCAGATCGGCCAAAGCCTTGGACAACTTCACACATGTGGGAAACCCAGAAGAAGCTACTAGATCATGGCTTCAGATTGGCTCAGCTCTGGTCATTGTGACCATTTGGGGAGTGAAGCGGTGGATGGAAGATCTTTTTTTTTTCTGTGTAAATCTGCCTTTCCAGTAAAATATTTCTGAAAAAAACTCTGAAAAATTGCCAATATATCTTTTATTATTGTTATTATTATGGGAAAGTCAGATGTACAGAGAGGGAGAGAGACAGAAATATTTTAGGTCTCTAAGAAATGCTTTGAGTGCACTTCTGTGGCCAGCCAAGAACCCCTTTCTTCTTCAGCAGGAGGCAGGAGGTGAGGGAACAGCATCACACTTGCTTCATCTTTGCTAGTACCTTCAAAATGTGCAAGGACACAGTAACAGGACGGAAGATGTTTCTGTTGATGGCAAGGGTTTCCACACCTACATCAGAGGCAAGTTGAGAAAGTATTCTTGTACACATCCTCTGGTGTCTGTTTCACATTTTGATTTAAAAAAAAGTTTCCAGTGAAGGAATGAGAAAGAAAACAGATGTATCCAGCTGACAGGGAAGTTCCTACAGATGTCCTCCCAGCAGCCTGAGGCAGCTGACAAGCCAGGAGATGTATGGGTGTGTCCTCTAAGTCATCCCTCCCTCCAGCATCACCCCTGTGCTCTGGCTCCAGCTATAGAAACCGAGCTCTGCCTTGGCAGCCCCGGAGGTCACAGCAGGCGAGTGTACACGGCTTTTCATAGGGCCCTGGCCTTCCAAAACATTGCAAGCGCTTTCAGAAAAGTGGGTTACATGGGAAATTAATAAATGGACAGGGTGATGTACCTGCTGGTTTTTTTTTTTTTTTAACACTGGGGAGTGGAAACCAAGAAACAAGCAATCAAAAAGACAGACACAAGATGAGCGTAAAGCCCAGCCCACTCTGGGCCTCGGATGAGTAGAGAGCTGGTCATAGCCAAAGCCCTGTGTCAGAACGTGTGTGTGTATCTTCTCCAGGGCCCAAGGAATTGAGGTTTACAATACAGCTGCTGGCTATGTTTCCATAATAAAACACAAGCCCATACAAGGAGATCTCTTACCCCCAGTCTGTGGAAAACACACTTTGTCTTTTAATTCTTTTTTCCTTGAGTGTTTTCAAATACCCTCATATGTTATCTCTCATGACTTTGGCAATACCCCATGGAGCTCAGTTTGGTATTTCGGTGCTTTGGCCCGCACGGAGCTGGAGGTCGGTGTAGGAGGTGGTGTCTTTTGACAAGCTGCTCCTGGTTTCACGTGTACTGTCAAGTTGGAAGTTGCAGGGATGCAGCCCGGGGAACTGCCACAGGGGCATCATGCTTGGAAGGGACCCTGCAAAGTTCAAGGACCTGTTGCAGCCATCTTGAAATCCTCCATAATTCTTACACTAGGCCTGACAAATTACGTAGTCACATTCAATTGACCTGGTGAGTTTTCTGACAAACCAGCTCCAGATGCTTGGCTAGGAATATGGCTAGGAATAGTGTTTGAATTCTCTCAGTCTCCCCAGTGGAGGGAGCCTGCTTGCCTGAATCGGACAAGAGGTGAACGAGCAAGTGGTGACGTGGGGCTGGACACTGACAGCTTGGGACAGACTCATATCTGCTTTAATCCTCCACAGCAAATGTCAGGAGGCAAGACTATTTAAGGCCATCAGATATCTGTCCATAGGGGATGAAATTGACCTGACAGGCAAACATGCTCTTCAAGAAAAAGCTCTTTAAAAGTGAAAACCAATGTCCTCTTTTTTCTTAGGAAGAGAAATTATCCAGATGTTCTCCAGCTGAGCTGCAAAGAACCTTACAAAGTCAATAAAAAACTCAATATGGAGTTTGGCCAAAGGGATCATGGGGAATAAAAATTCCAACCTCATGCCAAGGAGGAGAGAGACATTGTTCTCGGAGCATAAGCTGCAAAGGTCTTGCAGGATCCCTCACAGCTCAAGGACGTACATCAGCAAGTCCAGCTGAGAACTCATTTGTCGATGATTCTTTGTTTAGTCACTTCCTAATCCGCAGTATACCTTGGTTTTCTGGGTCCCCTTGTCCCAAGAACAAGTCCATACGGAAAACTGCACTTAAACTGCCTTGATAAGCTTGATGGCTGAAAGTCCCGGACCCTGGAACTCAGGGCAAATAGATAACCCAGCAACACCAAAGCTAATTTTTCACTTGCTTCAGCCTATGGTGTCATGCTTCTGCCTGCCACATTTACGTAAGTCTGGTTCCTTCTTAAGGCTAAGGTCCAAGGGAGTGTTGCTTCTTGCAAGGTGCTGACTGGCTGGATGTAAGAGAAGCACCCGCCAGCTGTAACACTGTCACGTGTTAGCTCAGAATGTAAATAGATTCCATAGCAGGAGGCTTTGGGATGCTGAGCTGTCAGACCCTGAGCTTTGGAAAGCATCAGAACCAAAGGATTCTCCTGCCTGCCTCTCTTGTCCTTTATTCTCCCACAAAGTGAGTTGTAGAAACTGAAATCTCTTATTTTCAAGAAGTCACAGAACCAAGAATTCCTCACAGCCCAGACCTGGCTGCTGTGGGCTTTTGGGGAATGAACCAAGCAGAGCTGAAAAGACAGGCTTGGCTGGATCTCCCCACTGGGCCTCTG